ATGGATAAACAAACTGTGGTACATACACACAATGGAATATTATGCTACCTGGAAGAATAACAAGGAAGCTGCAAGCTACCACATACCATGGATGAACCTTGAGGACATTATGCTGAGTGAAATTAGTCAGTCACAAAGGACAAATATTGCATAAGAACATTATTGTAAAAGCTTATGAATAGATACTCATACTAATAAGAAAAAAATTCTTTGTTGGTTAGTGGGAGGAAGGGGCAGGGAGGGGACAGTAGTGCACAGGGTAGAGGATAGACACATCATATTTTGGGTGTTGGGGAAGGTCAATACACAAGAATGGGTAGGGGGATGGAAGAACAAAGTAGATAGGGAAACACTGAGGCAGATTTGTATGGGCTAAATTGGACAGAGGTAAACAGTGACGTATGCTCAACCTTGGAACAACAGGACTCTGTGATACAGGGATCGAGGCATAATCTGAATGGGTAAAAGAGGGGAAATAATGTTAAGATGCTTGACTCTCTTATGGGTATTGGTTTTCCTTGCATACTATTGTAAAATAGACACTTGAGTGAAACAGAAATAAATATCAGGAAACATGATTAGAGAAAGCTTGTAAGCCCATTGTCAGCCTATAACACATTGGAATACCTAAATGGTGTTCTAGAACTTGTCCAGTGAAATAGGCTTCTTGTGGAGACTTTGTAGTGCACACGACTTTAGGTGGAAATACCATTCAAAACCTTCTGCGGTGGGACATTCCCACTTGAAGGACAAGCAGATCAGCCTGGAGCAGCTAGAGGAACAAATGATATTTCTTGAAACAAAGACCAGCAGGAAAAATCCAAAACAAAAATGGCAGTTTGATTGGCTACTACAAGAATAAGCAAGTTGTTCACTGGGGAGCCACCAAGGCAAGCAATCAAGTTTCTTCAGGACTAATCCCCTTCCAAGACTGAAACTCAAAGGGAATACATGAGCAGGCATTAAGCTTGCTGGTGACCACATTGGTCTACTAATGAGTGGAAGAGGGGGTAAGGCAGCAATGAAGATATGGGTTGAGTTTGACCACATTCCATAGACTCCTGTCGACCTAAAGATGAGAAAGAGAAGAAGAAGGGCTGGTTGGTCTGAAGTGTGGTGAGGCCTAGGGACTCCTGAGCCCGTGCACAAGGACATAGCCACAGAGGGCTAGATCTGAGAGTGAAAGGAGATACATAAGAACCCCCAAACTTGCAGATAATACCTATTCAACCTAGCTTTGATGGCTTGATGATTAGAACTAAACTAGAGAAAGATCATTTTTTTTTTTAAATAAAGGAAACAAGTGTAAATTGCTACAATTTGATGAAATTGACCTATACTTATGGAGGGAAGGAGTCTTCACATCCAGGATCAATCCTATCCCCTCTGTCTATAGGGTTGATAGGGACAGGCAACTTAGACACTGGCTACCTAAAATGAGGGGAGGCAATAAATGCACAAAGTGACTGGCTTACAAGCTTTCCAGGGGAATTTAGTTCCAAAGTGTGCAGAGGAAGGTAGAATTCCCACTGAATAGTTCTCATCTTGCCTAGATGGGTCTGGTGAAAGAAGATGGGGATAAGAATCTTATGATTCAATAGTGAGTAACTGTTATTATGACTAATTGCGACTGTCACAGCTATAAAGGTAGAAGTTTTATAACAAAAAGGGGAGCATAGTTAATTTCACATTCCAGGAACAGAGAACCCTAGGACCATTAAGGGAGAAGAGCACAAGTGGAATGTGGGACCCTTTCCAAAGAAGCAGTGACACCAAGGATGGAGGCAGATATGGGGACATGGAGAGACAGAGCAGCCGAGGATTTTAGACTGGGAAAGAGAAAGGCTGTGTGCTGATGGCCAGGAGGCAGTCTTGCAGGATGTGCTCTTTCGTTGTTTAGATGATCATATATTCCTGAGTCTTTGTGTACATACAAAAATAACTACTCAAAAAAACAGAGGGAATAGAAGCAAATACTGTTGAGTGATGATGCACAGATGAGGCTGTAATCATTGCAATGAAACAATGAGTGTGAAAACCGATGTTCTCCCATGTAAACTGACACTCAATTCACAATAAAAAAAAAAAGATAATGGAAGTAACAAAAAAATGTTTGATTAGTTCCAAATAAGGTTTTTATTTGAATAAATAAATTTTACTTTCTTGTTTGTTATGGTTAGGTACCAACCATCGAGTCAATTCTGAATTCCCGGAGCACAGCACCTGTGCTGGGGGTGGATGAGAGTAAGAGCTGGCCATACCTCTGGTCACCAGGGGAGCCTGGAGAAAGAGAAGACACTGCACGTTTCCCGGTGCCCACGCAAATCTGCTCTGTCAAGTCTCCCTCCACTGCTCACAACATGGTGGCTCCGTGTCTGGCTAGCTGTTCACCAGTCTGTCTCCCTCTCTCACCATCCCTGCTCAGCCTCTCCTCTCAGCAAGCACTTCACTCACCTCTCTAACCTTTCTTCTGAAGTTCAGGATGCCAGAACTTTCACCAGTGTCTGTTTTATTTTGTCTCGCTCATCTTCTTTGCAGAGGGTCCTTGCAGTGAGTCTGCCTTGTCTGCCATCTTCCAGAAGTCTCTGTTTAGTCATCTTTCATGTTGTTTAAAAGATGTATTTGCAACAAATAAACCTTTGGTCTTGCAAAATTCTATCATGTGATCCCCAGCATCATTTCTATCACCAAGGCCATATTTTCCAACTACCGAGCCTTCCTCTTTAACTTTGCGTTTCAATCACCAGTAATTATGAATACATCTTGATGGAATGGATCAATTTCAGACTGAAGAAGTTGCTAGAATTCTTCAATTTCATCATCACTGGCTTTAGTGGTTGTTGCATAAATTAAAAGCAAATGAAAATGTATCCTAACAAAATGATAAATGAAATAAAAAAGAGCGATTTGCATTGTATATGAAAAAAGTGCTTAATTCATATTTCTTAATGAGGTAAAAATAAATTATGGGGACCAAAAAACTGGAGCAGTAACCTAAAGATTACTAGATATTTTGCTGTTGTTGTTGTTGTTAGGTGCCATCGAGTCGGTGCCAACTCATAGCGACCCTATGCGCAACAGAACGAATTATTGCCTGGTCCTGGGCCAACCTCACAATTGTTGCCACGCGTGAATCCATTGATGCTGCCACTTCACCAATCCATCTTTCTGGGGGTCTTCCTCCCCTTCTCTGACCCTCCACCTTACCAAACATGATATTATTCTAAAGCAACTGGGCCCCTCCTGACAATATGTCCAAAGTATGAGCGACAAAGTTGGGTCAATCTGGCCTCCAAGGAGCACTCTGGCTGCACTTCTTCTAACCAGATCTTTTGGTTCTTTTGGCAGTCCATGTATTTTCAATATTCTCCTCCAACACCATAACTCAAATGCATCAATTCTTCTACAGTCTTCTTTACTCACTGTTCAACTTCCACATGCATATGAGGTTATTGAAAATACCATGGCTTAGGTAAGGCGCACCTTAGTCCTCAAGCTGACATCTTTGCTGTTGAACCAGATCTGTTTAAAAAGGTCTTGTGCAGCACATTTGCCTAACGCAATACATCATTTGATTACTTGACTGTTGCTTCCAAGAGTGTTGATGGTTGATCTGAGCAAACTGAAGTCTTTGACAACGTCAATCTTTTCTCCGTTTAATATGCATGTTGTTTGTTGGTCCAGTGGTGAGGATTTTTTATTTCTTTACATTGAGGTGCAACTCATTCCAAAGGCTGCGGTCTTTGATCTCTGTCAGTAAGTAATTTACGACCTCTTCACTATGCTGGTAGTCAAACATATCTATGTGACTGTTTCAGTTATGTGCCACTGAGTTTATTCTGAATCACAGAGGTCCTGTATATGGTTTCCCAGTAGAAGCCGTTAGGTTTGAACTGCTGACCTTGTGGTTCGCAGTCCAGTGCTGATCCTACAGCTCAGTACATTTATGTCACTAATCCCCAATAATAACTCTGAACACCATGCCTGAGGTGAGCTTCCATGGTTGGCAATATTCCATGTATTGTCACACACTGTTGCTGGAAGCAGTAGGTGCTGTCTACACAAGTCCAGCATAAGAGGACAACTAACAGCTTCATGCCTGCGACTCTCAAAGGCCCATCCTCACACACCTCTTTCCTTGGTTAATTTAAATCTCTATCCTTTCACTGTAGTAACTGCAACCATGAGTATACTAACTTTCAGTGAGTTCAGTGAGTCATTCAAGCAAATTAAAGAACCTGATGGTGGTCTTTGTTGTTGTTAAGTGCCATCGAGTTGGCTCCAACTCATAGTGACCAGTGTAGGGTTTCTGAAGAGTAACTGTTAAGTTTGAACTACGGACCCTGTCATTCAAACAAACCTTGTGGTCCTGTGCTTATCCTACAGTGCCACACCAGGACTCCTTGATGGTAGTCTTGTTGTTGTTGTTGTTAAGTGCAGTGGAGTCAGTTCCGACTCATAGCAACCCTGTATAGGGTTTCCCAGGAGTGATTGGTGGGTTTGAATCACGGACCCTTAGGCTCAAACTGACCTTGCAGTCCAGTGCATTATCCTGCAGTGCTAGTGGTCCTGATATTTACATTTGAAGTCAGAAGCAAGGGTAGTCAGGGATTCCTCAATTTCATGATATCATATCATTTGCCTAAGGGTTAAAGCTGAGAACTGCCAGCCACAAAAAGCCTGAGAACTAAGACCTAATGTCAAGGTATTTTGTCTTTATAGTATCTAAAATCCAGTACCATTCTGGCCCTTAATCTAAACAGAGACCTTTTTGAGTAGACTCCAAACAATTACGAAAGATTTTAACACTTACAAATACATCTCATTGTCACAGGAAGATCCCAAAGTTCATACATTTCAAGAAAAAGGAATGAACATTCCATTACATATGCTTTGGTTTCAAAAATATAAGAACACTATGTTCTGAAAAAAATTATCAAATGTGAAGAAGAAGGTAAAAACAAAGGTGCAATTGTTACACAGAATAAAGCATTCCTTACCCGATGACATCAATCACGTCCAAGAGCTCGGGATCAAGCAGCATCGTTGCAGAAATGGGCTCCCAGAGGTTGTCACTTGCTATGATTTTCACTCGCTCAAGGCCATGGCGGTTCAGCATTTTTCTTAACATCTTTTCAGAGAGGCAAACAGGACACATAGGAAAGGTTACAAAGGCATGGCTAGCTGTTGAATTATGGTAAAGATAGCTAAAGTGTCTTTCTATAAAAAGCCTCCATTTCAATATTAGTTCTCAAAACCAATGCACCTCCTGTGGAAAACAAAAGCATTGTCTTTGAGGTAGCCTACTTCATGGGAATATAAAAGAAAAAAGAAAAAACAATCCAAGGGGTTAAAATGTTTTAGATGGAAGTCCTAGATGGGAAAACAAGGAGGAAGGAGTTCTACTTGAAATGGATGAGAGTTCTATGACTCATACACCTTTGTGTCCAGTGCACTCAGAAGCTAATTGAAGGCTCCAGAAGAAATCTACAAACCATAGGTCTATACTGGACAACTGGTTTAGCGCTGTAAGATAAACGCTGGACTATGAATCATAAGGTCGGTGGCTCGAACCCACCAGCTGCTCCTCGGAAAACCTACCGAGGGTCACTATGAGTTGGAACTGACTGGATGACACTTAACAACAACAAAACTATACTAAAACCAGAGTAGACCATAAACACAATATAAATAGCTAAAATAAACTTAAAACGCATAAAGAAAGCATTCAGTAATCATTTAAAGATAAAAAGATTGTAACATTTTACAGACCTTGATATAACGGATGTCAAATGTTCTCTCATTCCAAATCTGCAAGAAAAAGTCCACAAAGTCTGAATTACTAGTTTTATGTGTCAGAAAGTAGACATTACCATTGAAATCCCACTTTCCCCCTCATATTTCATGTTATCTAATACACCATTTTTCTTTCTTACATTACAAAAAGACCTACCACAGAATTGACAACAACTTATAACTTTAGCAAGCTAAAATATTCCTGTTTTAAAACATTTTTCCATAGTTGGTAGGTAGTTTTCAGAAAACAGTGCATCGCGTGAATTTCCCAGACAAAACAGTCAGTCAGTCACGGAGCGAATACCGACAATGTATGTGTGTCACTTGCCGGTCAGGTGGTTGTACTGTGCTGGTTTGTGTGTTGCTAGAAGTGGTGTCACCAGCATTTCAAGTGTCAGCAGGGTCACCCATGGTGGGCAGGTGTGAGTGGAGCTTCCAGACTAAGACAGACTGGGAAAAGGACCTGACAAAACGAGCCAGTCCAAACCTTATGGAAACAGTGTGTCTGTCCAGTGTCAGAAGATGGGCGCCCCAGACTGGACAGCATTCAAAGTACAACTAGGAAAGTGCTGCTGCCTCAAAATACAGTTGACCTCAAGCATGCGAACTGAGTAAAGCTTCGGAGACCTTCGCTGTCTTGATTCAAAATGAGAAGGAACAGTTACAAACATCCATTAATCATCAGCACATGGAATATTCAAAACAAGAATCTAGAAACATAAGGAAAATGAAATGGAATGCTTTAAGACAGACATCCTATGTATTAGTGAACTGAAATGAACTGGTATTGGCCATTCTGAAACAATCATATGATCAACGATGCCAAGAATGATAAATAGAAGAAGACTGTTGTCAAATTCATTAACAAAAAGCATATCTCATGATCTATCTCAAAGTTCAATGCTGTTAGTAGGAGGAAAATATCCATACACTTATAAGGAAGACCAGTTAATACAGCTATTTTTCAAATGTACACACCAAGCACTAACGACAAAGATGAAGAAATGTAAGATTTTTCTACGAACTTCTGCAGTCTAAAATTGAGCATTCAATCTAGATGGTGCTTATTGGTGATTGGAATGCAAAAGTTGAAAACGAAGTAGAAGGAGCAGTTGTTTGAAACCACAGCCTTGGTGGTGAAATGATGCTGGAAACTGTATGATAGAATTCTGCAAGACTCAACATAAATGACCTTTTTCAACACCTCACTAGCTAGAATACACAAATCAAATCTACTACATCTATGGAATGAGACGATGTAGAAACTCAAAATCATCAGTCAGAAGAAAGCCAAGGGCCAACACCAGAGCAGATCATCAATTGCTCTGATCCAAGTTCAAGATGAAGCTACAGAAAATGAAACAAGTTCACAAGAGCTGAAGTTCCACCTTGCATATGTCCCACCTGAATTTAGAGACCATCACAAAAATAGATTTGGCACACTGACCACAAATAACCAAAGACATGACAAGCTGTGAAATGTTGTAAGTATATTATACAAGAATAAAGCAAAAGACAGGAAAGAAAGAAGACCAAAATAGATGTGAGAAGAGACTCTGAAACTTGCTTGTGAGGTAGAGAAGCTAAAGAGAAAGGAAAAAATGAAGCAATAAAAGACCTAAACTGAAGATTTCAAAGGGTGACTCAAGACAGAGTAAAATATTATAATGAAATTTGCAAAAGACCTGGAGCTTGGAAACCAAAAGGGAAGAACACAGTATTGCATATGCTGAACGAACTAAACAAAAAAAATTCAAACAGCAACTTGCAATACTTAAGGATTCTATGGTTGAAAGATGCTTAAAAAGAAAATGGAATGACTATACAGAGTTGTTGTTCAAAAAATATTAGTCCATGTTAAGAAAGTAGCAAATGATCAGGGGCTGATGGGACTGAAAGCAAAAGTCCAAGATGTACTAAAGGCACTGATGAAAAATAAGATTTAAGGAACTGACCGAAACCAACTAAGATGTTTCAACAAGTAGATCTAACACTGGATGCACTCGCTCATCTATGCCAAGAAATCTGGAAGACAGTTAGTTACCTGGACTACTAACTGGAAAGAAAGGTGATGCAATGGAATAGGGAAATCATCAAATAATGTAAGTAAGACACATGTAACAAAATTATGTTGAAGATAATTCCAAATCAATTGTGTTGAAAAGATTTAGAAGAGAACATGAAATGAAGGGTATTAATTACTGCTGTAGTCATATGGATATTGGCTGAAAGCAGAGAATGCCATAAAGAGTTTATCTCTGTTTATTGACTAGGCAGAAGCATTCAACTGTATGGAACATAACAAATTATGGATAACATTGCAGAAATTGAGGATTCCAGGACACTTAATTGTGCTCATGTGTAGCCAAAAGACAACTGTTCTAACGGAACAATGGGCAACTAACTGTATGGTTTAAAATCAGGAATAGTGCGTGTTACAGTTGTATCCTTTCACCATACTTACTCAATGTGAGCAAATAACCCAAGAAACTAGACTATAGGAAGTAGAACACAGCATCAGGATTTGAGAAAGACTCATTAACAAACAACCTGCAATACACAAATGACACAACTTTGCTTGCTGAAAGTGAAAAAGACTTGAAGAAATTGCTGATTAAAACCAAAGATGACAGCCTTCAATATGGATTACATCTGAACGTAAAGAACTCAAGAATCCCACAACTGGACCAATAAGCAACATCATAAAAAACAGAGAGAGTATTAAATTGTCAAGGATTTCATTTTACTTGGATCTACAATCAAGGACCAAGGAAGCAGCAGTCAATAAATCAAAAGACATATTGGACTGGAGAAATGTGCTGCCAAAGAACTCTTTAAAGTGTTCCAGAACAAAGACGTCACTTTGAGGACTTAGGTGCACCTGACCCAAGCCATGGTGTTTTCAATCACTTCATAGGTATGTGAAAGCTGGACGATGAATAAGGAAGTCTGAAGAATCGATGTCTCTGAATTGCACTACTGGTGAAGAACACTGAAAGCACCATGGATGCCAGGACAAACACATATGTCTTGGAAGAAGTACAGCCAGAGTGCTCTTTGGAGGGGAGGACAGTGAGACTTCATCTCACATATCCTAAGGAAGGACCATCCTTGGAAAAGGATACCATGCTTGGTAAAGCAGAGAATCCACACTCAAAAGGAAGACTGTCAACAAGGTATGCCGACACAGAGGCTGCACCGGTGAATTGAAACAGCAAAGACCGTGAGGGCGGCACAGGACCAGGCAGTGCTTTGGTCTGTTGAGCACAGGAGAGCTAGGAGTTGGAAGGGACTCCAGAGTACCTAGCAACAATAACAACGTGTGTCAGGCACTACACTAAGTAGTGAAGGGCAAACAGACATGAAGACTGCTGTAAGAATTAGTACAAGATTCTGAAGACACATCTGAAAGTCAAGCATTAATAAGTATGTTGTACAAGAGTAAGTTTTTAAACACAAACAGATTCACAAATGTATGAGATGACAAAAACAAACAACGAATGAGAATGGATCAAAGAAACAAATCTCTGAGATATAGACTCATGAAGACTTGCATTTTGCAGGGGAGGAAATAGGGCTGTGGTTATGTGCTAGACTGCAAAGTAGTTTGAACTGCAAGGTCGGTGGTTCAAGCTTACCAGCCACTCCTCACAAACCCTATACAGGGTCGCTATGGGTCAGATCCAACTCAACAGCACTTAACAATAATAACAACAACAAAAAAGTGTTAATAACAGGGATGGTTCTAAGGTCTAAGGTCTAGGTGCTGTAACTCCAAAAGATCTTTCAACGTTAGTTATACAAGAAAGAGTTCCTGATCTAAGAACTTCCTCACCATAACGTGTGATTGCTATTGTTATTGTTGTGAGGTGCCCTGCAGTTGTTTCTGACTCATAGTGGCCCTGCCAAGGGTGACAAAGAAAGCCTCCTTTGTCAACCACAGAGATCTACTGACCTTGTTGTTAGCAGTCCAGTGTTTACCCTACAGCGCCACCAGCGCTCCTGAACATGTGATTAGCAAGTCTAACAGAAATGTGAATTACCTCATATTTGCCAGGGGCACTTTCGAAATAACTGCTCAATCATAACAGCAAGCAACTAGATCCAAACCTGCATTTAGCTTCACTGTGGGCTAAAACACCTGCCACTTAAGGAGGCTCTCAAATGCAAACTAATTTTCAGGTATAATTTGGAAACGAGTAATAAAAACAAGCATGTTTGTATCTCCAGCTTCCTATGGCTTTTGGTTGATACCAGTGTTTTATCATCCCGTGAGACTACAGCTACTCTGCTATGCCAGTATCAACCTCTTGCCGAACTGCTCAAGTTGCTGTCCCTAGAACACAGTCACAGTGCCTGCAACACAGTAGGAAGTCAGTAGGTGCTTACTTAGTGCATGAAAGCTTTTGACAAGTGGAATATGAAAAGCATATTGTCATGTGAGGCATGCCTGGGGGAAAGGATACTGCGTTATATATATATATACTTCTAATTATTAAAATATGTTAAATAGAAATTCAGGCAGAGGTAGGAAGATTGCAGCCTAAAAGCCAAAGGTGGATTAACCTGTATTTTCACAGCCTGATAGCTAAAATTGTTTTGGGTTTTTTTACCATTTGAAATGATTAGTTTTTAAATGGTTTTATGAGTGCCTACCTCCTAACATCAATTTTGTCTCTTCACCCACAAAATCTGAAATACTTACTTTTAAGGAAATGTTTAGAAACATATCTGGTTTACAACAACAGGTGAGGAACAGACCAAGAGCAAAGCTAACCATTATTCTCTGTATAAACACAGTATCACTGCACGAACTACAGGAATGAGGGAAAGCTTTGCTGGAGGATTTGAGCTACTATAGTACATGCACTCACACACAAAGAATAAGAAATAACCATTCAGAGAAATCACACACTTAGTTCATTGTCACAGTGGGAAGACTCCAGCTGGGCAAAGAGGAGGACTAAAAGACCACGTACAGCTAATCTGAGTTATTAGATTGCAATCAAGCAAGTTAGTCTCATGACACAAAATGGTTTAGTCAACAAAGTGCCAGAGAATAGTTATTTTTTAAAAATTACAAATGAATGTCCAAAACTTAATTGTATTTTAATTATATTACCAACCCCAATATAATCAATGTCCAAATTATGATAATGCTTGGCACCCACAATCCAGGCCACGACGTAATAGGCAGTCAGCTGAACGTTTACATAAGGCCAGTTGAAACCTTTCCCCAGCCATCCAGGGAATGACCACGGCAGCCCTGTAAAGAGAAGGGAAGAGGCAAAGGTGGAATGGGGTAACAGCACTCGCTCATTTAAAACAAAACAAAACAAAAGCTTACTAACGGAAAAATGACACAGCACACACAGTTTCTCCAAACCTTTTCCAGTCTACAGACCCCATCATTCCTTAATGATCCCTAAACTCAAGGTCTCATAATCCCAACTGCTCTTTCAAGAAAAAATAAGAAGAATAGCTAACAACAAAAACACCTCTTACACAGCCACATACCAATAGAAAGACATGTATTATACAATTTAATTTAACATCTCTTCCCCCTGGAAAGAATGTTCAATATTCCATCTTTGTTCTTGAAGGTTAAATCATAGAGTTCTGGATCTTACATTTAACTACACCTGTGAGGTACATGGACTCCTGATGGTACAGTGGGTTAGCTGTTGGGCTATTAACTGAAAGGTTGGTAGTTCGATCCCACCAGCCGCTCTGCAGGAGAAAGATGAAGCAGCATGCTTCCATAAAGATTTCCAGCCTCAGACCCTTTATGAAGTAGTCCTATTTCACTCGACAGGGTCACTAGGAGTTGGAATCAATTCAATGACAGTAGCTGAGGTAGAGATGCTATAAACCTCTCATCCACTAGTATATCCCTGTACAGTTTGTTGTCGTTAAATGCCAGCAAGTCAGTTCCAACTCATAGCGACCCTGTAAAGGCTTTCCAAGAAGCGGGTGGTGAGTTTGAACCACTGACCTTGAAGATCAAGCCAGCCTTGTGGTCCAGTGCTTTATCCCACAGCGCCGCACCAGGATTCCTCTTACAGTTTAAGACTATTTCAAACATTAATTAGCCAGGTATGTTTTGTTGTGTATACTTTCAAAGTATTGTAAAGACACATAATTTATCAGGTGATAAAATGGAACTAGATTTAACAAATGCCGCTGCCTCAATAGGCAAATTAACCTTTGTTAAATGATACAGTTTAAATAAATCCACATTCATCCAATATTATCCTAATTATTATTTTCAAGTTTACAAAAAGAAAAGGAAGCTACTCATTACAATTTTAAATCCTAATTCTTTTACTAGTATGTTACCATAAACTCCACAATTTCCACAGCTCTTTAATAGTATCAATCTTACTACTGAAAAATGTCAAACTTAATATGACAAAATGCAACTTTATTTCTAAACTCTGAAGGAATGCATGAATGTATCAACATAAGAAATGTGGCATTAAGATGGAGCAACATTTTGAAACAATGTAATGACAAATGCATTCCGTAGGCCTAGCATGTGTAAGTCTTTGTTAGAGCATGGTTCTGTGGGCCAGTTTCTACAGTTAAATGAGATCTCATCCTGAAAGCAGCTTAGTGGGCGGTACAAGTGGAATCAAATAATTTTTACTGCTCAAAACATTTCTGGAACTTCTTATAAAGTACAGCTAGAAAGAAGACATAAATTCCTCTTTTTCTTTTCATTTGTTATTATTTAGAATCAATTATCTACTCTTATCCTTTGACTGGATTTCAGAGCAACTAACTACAGTAAGGAGCTCTGGTAGTGTAGTGTAGTGGTTACGAATCGGGCTGCGAACCTTAAGGTCAGCAGTTCGAAACTACCAGCTGCTCCGCGGGAGAAAGATGAGGCTTTCTACTCCCGTAAGGATTTATACCCTCGGAAACCCTGTACAGGGTCGCTATGGGTCGGAACCGACTTGAAGGCACTTAACAACAACAACAAATCCTTTGACTGGAGTCCTGGTGTGGAGCTGTGGGTTAATGTGATGGACTGCAAAGTCATTTTGAACTGCCAGGTTGGCAGTTCAAGCTCATCAGCCACTCCTCAGAAACTCTATACAGGATCACCATGGATCACAACCAACTTGATGGAACTTAACAACAACAATAATCCTGTGGGTTAATGTGCTTCACTACTAAGTTGGTTTGAACTGCAAGGTTGGCAATTCAAGTTCACCAACCACTCCTTGGAAACCCTATACAGGGTCATTATGAGTCGGAACCAACTCGACAGCACTTAACAACATGCTTTGATTGATAAAAATTATTTTAAAAATAACTTGGTATCAAATCTCTCAAATGGATCATTTGAGTTTCACATAACTTAGTCTGATTGTCTGTTTCGAAAAATAAAGTTCATCTCAAATGATACAAGTATTCCATCACTCTGAATGCCTGAACTCCTTCACAGGCCCTGTACAGGTGGTCATAGGAGGCCTGCAGTACCTTTGTACTATCAATGATCCTGCCACCAGAACCCAAGAGCCACAAGGGGCTGGATGTGGGCCTGGTTTGTAGAGCCTGGAACAGAGACTGGAATATTACTGAGGCTCAAAAAACCTAACGGAAAAAAAAAAAATGTTTTTTATATACTTCCAGAACTGGAGTCTACTATGGCATGTGATGACAGAATTCTTGCCTTCCATGATGGAGATCTGGGTCTGATTTCCGGCCACCTGTCTGTCAGTGGAGGCTTGGATGTTGTTAGGATGCTGAACAGGTTTCCACAGTAAAGACCAGAAGAACAGCCTTGTGGTCTACTTCCAAAAATGAGCCAATGAAAACTCTGTGGATCACAACGGCCCAATCTGCAACCACACATAGGGATGGCACAGGACCAGGTAGCACTTCATTCTGCCGCCATGTGCTCTCCATGAGTGTGGGACCCAGTGGGTGGCAGCTAACAACAATAACTCATCATCACAGTGCGTCTCTTCTAGCCAGAGGCTTGGTAACTTCCCACCAAACTGCCTTTTCAGAACGGATTTGGGTGAGAGAATATGGGCAAGATGCCGAGTGGGTTCTATGGGTCAATGAGTGATTGTTAACAGGGCTAACTGTGCCATCCTGCCGGATATAAAATGAACCATCTCAGAAGCAGAGTGATCTCACTACCAACAAGGAGGACCTGGGACAGACACACGTCCTGTGGTGATCTCTGCGCGATGAACCTCCTCGACCCAGGGAGAGAAAGCTGTGACACCAGAGGTGTAGCCGCAGCAGCAGAACCAAGAGCCAGAGCACGTGACAGAGCAGCGGGCTTCAGAGCCCACGGAGCAATTAAAGCTGAGCGCCTTTGGACAGGAGGCTCCTTGGTGAAGTGGAGTGACTGTTCACCTCCTAATAAACCCCGCAACTGTGAGTATGGCGTCTGAGTTCAGTGTGGCCACTGCAATGAATGATCAAACCAAGGTGAGAAGTAGCAGGTTGTGGGCAACAGTTGGTGCCACGTTGTTTGCATTCATGCACCACCATATTGTAAGTACTAGGACTCCTGGTGTGGCGCTGTAAGGTCGGCACTCAACTGCGAACCACAAGGTCAGCCAACCGTGAGGTTCACTGATCCTACAGCACTACACCAGGAGTCCAAACAACAGTATTAGCATTTCAGTAATAATAAGGACTCCACCATGATTCAGAATGTACACACTAAAGTAAAAGAGGCTGTAGAGGCATTGCAAACTTCACTGCTTACCCATGAGTGTAATATTAGGGTTCCTCTTCTTAGCTTCCTTCATTAACCACCACTCATATCCTCGGAAATAATTCTCATCTAGCGCATAGTGCATGTGGGAGGGCTCAGTGCCATCTGAATGGGGAACCGCAGAAGAGGACGAAAAGGATCAGTTAATCACCATTCCCAAGGTTTCCCAACCTCCAGCTCACACACATTCCAGAGCCTTAATATCCCATTTCCAATCCCAGAATTGAGCAAACACAAATAATCCTTTGTAATTTAAGGTTGACTGATACGAGCATATTGTCCCATCATTTTTCAGTGTGGCGCTGTAGGATAATGCACTGGACCACAAGGTTGGTGGTTCAAACTCACCAGCTGCTCCTCAGGAAACTCTACGCAGTGTCGCTATGAGTCAGAACCGACTCACCAGCGCTTAGCAACAGCAACAACAACAAACATCATAAAGGTCTAAGTAATCAAGCCTCGACTTTTTATTCTAAGTAAAAGGAGTTTCAGCACCAAGCAAGGGGCACATGGGCACATCCCACCTCTGTTGTTAATTACATAATAAGAACCAGCATGGATCCAATTCCAACCTGGAAATGGATCGAATCTTCACCTCCCCTCTTCTCCATCCTCGTCACCAGGTACTTACTTACACAGCCCTTTCTCTCTCAGCCCCAGCTACCTAGAGCTGGTCAGAGTTCACAAGCAAGACCGAAGGACACTGCCTTTCAATCCAGCTGTCCATACAGCATTACTCAGAGCTAGGTCAGAGCACACATGATGGACACACCTTCCTTCAGACTGTCCAACCTCTGCTGGCCCTCACTGTCCCTGTGCATTTGTTAATTCACTGGAACAAAGGACAGATGTCACAGAGTTCAGCATACTTAAAGGTGCCTTAGTAGCAAAGTGGATTAAGAGCTAGGCTGCTAACTACAAGGTCAGCAGTTCAAATCTACCAGTCACTCCATGGGAGAAAAATGAGGCTTTCTGCTACAGTAAAGATTAACAGCCTCAGAAACCCTATACAAGGTCGCTATGAGTGGGAACCGACTTGGCGGCATATAACCACCACCACCACCACCAGCATACTTAAGGAGCTCTGGGAGCACAATGGTTAAGTGGTCAGCAGCTACCGAAAGGCTGGCATTTCAAACCTCCCAGTCCCTCAGGGGAGAAGACCTGCTCCCTGGGAGGCAGTTCTACTCTGTCACATGGGGTCGCTACATGTCAAAATTGACTCAACAGCACCTAACAACATACCACACCTACTACAGATTCATTGCATCCAAAAAGGACACAAACAAAGAGACCCATTACCAGGGTCAGGTCTGGGAGGGGTCACAGAGCAAAGCTTCCATGTCCCAAGGAGAGACACGCTGCCCTCTCTCAAGTGTGCTCAACCACAGGAAGTTCTTCTCTGCCTCACCACACAGCCTTAACACTTAACATCACGTCTCAAGAGGTGTAGTCAGCATCAGGCCCCTAGATGGTCCCCCTTGGTCTGGTCAGCTCTATTCATACCTGATGTGTTAGAATAGGTTCAGAGAACAAGAACACATCGCTTTCCATAAGGTGATTCTCCACTTGCAATCTTGTTACCATTAAGTGCCATTGAGTCACTTCCGACTCACAGTGAGCCTCTGTAGGGTTTCCAAAGAGCAGCTTGTGAGTTTGAACCATCAACCTTGCAATTCAAACTGACTTTGTGGTCCAGCACACTGTCCTGTAGCACCACACCTTGCAACCTTACATAACTAAAGATTCCCAGGACTACATTCTCCTAGGCTTTTAGTCTCTCTGGAGTTTTTGTATCTCCGTGTCCAATTTTGAGTTCATAATACCATTCAACTTCCAGCTTCCTGATCATGGCAGTGAAACCCCTAGCAACTGAGCGCCAATTCTCACATCCTACACCCTGAATGTGTGACACACTGTGGTGTTGCAAGAAAATACTTTAGAGTGAAAAGGACTGAGCGTACGTTCCCACTAGCATAAAACTCTATAGCAACCTCTTTGTTGTTGTTGTTGTAAAGTGCCTTTGAGTTAGGTCCAACCCATAGTGACCCTGTATAGGGTTTCCAAGGAGCAGCTGGTGAGCTTGAACTGCCGACTCTGCAGTCTAAACTGACTTTTCAGTCCAGCGCATAAACCCACAGTGCCACACCAGGACTCCAGCAACCTCTTTAGGTAGGTGTTATTGTTGTTGTTAGGTGCCATCGAGTCAGTACTGACTCACAGCGACCCTATGCACAACAGAACGAAGCACTGCCTGGTCCTGGGTCAACCTCACAATTGTTGCCATTTTTTAGCCCATTGATGCTGCCACTTTGCCAAGCCAACTCTCTGGGGGTCTTCCTCCTTTTCTCTGAGCCTCCACCTTACCAAACATGATATCCTTCTCCAGTGATTCGTCCCTCCTGACAATATGTGTGAAGTGTAAGAGACGAAGTTTGGCCATCCTGGACTTCAAGGAGCATTCTGGCTGCACTTCTTCCAATGCAGATCTCTTGGTTCTTTTGGCAGCCCATGACACTTTATTCTCCTCCAACACCATAACTCAAAAGCATCAATTCTATGGTCTTCCTTATTCACTGTCCAGCTTTCGCATGCAT